GGGCCCAACCCTACTGCTTGGGCAGTTCCCTCCTGAAACACTGGTCCTCTCAAAAGCATACTGGTTATCACCATGGCTGCTCTTCCAGGGCTCTCATTGGTGGGCTCCAGGGTTCACGCCACACCCTGAGAGCATTCCCACTCGGCCATGGTTCCGCTTCTCCCTGCTACTGCTTAAGAGTCCTCCTGTCTACCCTCACCTCCTGCACTCCGAGAAGAGTAGGAAGAAATAAAGCCACAAAGTGGCACAGGAGCTTTCGCTTGCCGCTGGTGACTGACAGTGGAGCAGCGTTGAGGAAACCCAGGGGGTTGTGTGCGATGCAAACCAGTGTGCATTACAGCAAAACCTACAAGGGCGGCAGCAGGTTCAGACCTGTCACTGGTGGGAACTGGGGAACGAACAAGAAAGGATGAGAGGAGCCTTTATCCAGAGCTTCCCAGGCCCTTCCATGCCATGGCACACAGAGCGGGTGGCACCTGCAGATACACTGGGCATATGCTGGTGCCCTTGGTGTGCCAGGTGCTGCTGGGCCCAAGCCCAGGGTACAGACTCCTCACCCCAGCCTGGCCCCCTCGAGGGTAGAACGGTGGTGTTGGGCACACCTGCACCCATCGCAGCACCTGGCATGGATAAGATCAGGAAGAGGTGAGGGGCTGGCACTGCCTGGGGCTCCAGGGCCCCTTTCCTTATTGCTGTGAGCTGATCTGCATCCTCCCTCCAGCCGTCCTCAGAGGCCGCCCTCCCACCTCGGCACCACCTTCCATGTTTCCCTCTTCATCTTTGGAGCAAACAGGCCAGGCCCGGGAGCCCTGGGCCCCCCAAGTGTCTACGCTTTCCTCCCTTTTAAACTCCTCCATCCTGAGGATGGCGGCCCCCGCCGCCATAGCCGCCTCCAGCCATGCCAACAGGCCCTGTGCCCCCGTGTCCTCCGCCTCCTCCCGCTAACCGTGCGAGGTTTTTCTCTGATACCCAACATGCACTTGGCTTCCTAGCTCATCTTTCTGTCCATTTCCCATCAAAGTCACTCTGAGTTCCAACTGTGTCTCCTGTGGCAGTTTCCAGCATCTAGCAAGTTAATTAATTTTTCTATTGAAAACAACAGCACGGGGACTGTCTCTTTACATGGCGTTGTAGCACAGGGACAGAAGCAGGGAGGCTCTGGGTGGGGGACAGGGTAGGCCCCAGGGCATTTCCAAGGACTGTGGGGTAGAAACAGCTGTAGGCAGGCCCTGGCCACCTCTTGACTCCCCAGCTTCAAGGCGATTCTGTCCCCTCAGAGCGCCAAGAAAAGGAGCTGGGCTCAGGAGCTGTCTCCAGGAAACAGCCATGTCTATGACAGCAAAAACAATGGAACCGAATATTCTCATTAACGCAAAGAGTTGGAGAAGAGAAGGAAAAGAGAGTGAATAAGAGGGTTTGAATCAATAAGCAAAATGGATCTAGGCTCCCTGGGGGAAGAAGTGGGGGAGTCTTGTCCTTTTCCTCTGGCCACCGACCCAGTTCACCATCTCAACCCTTCATACCTCCTCTTCATCCCATGTCTGGACAAAGTCAGGAATTTAAGTCATATTTGTAATTTAAGTCATATTTCCTTTTCCTCTGGCCACCGACCCAGTTCACCATCTCAACCCTTCATACCGCCTCTTCATCCCATGTCTGGACAAAGTCAGGACTTTAAGTCATATTTCTAACAGCCTAGGTTAGTCCAGAATGAACAGCCCCTCCGCAATCAAGCACATGCTGTGACTCTCATCCAAGAAGCGTGGGGCAGAGATGCAGCTGGTTCATTCCTTCTTCAGACAGAACCTCACTAATTCAGATCAGACTGAAGGGACTGGGGTCAGGTGACGGTGAGTCCTTCATGAGTGTTAATTGTCATCCTTCCCTTGGGTTTCTAAAAATTCAAGGGGGGCAAGAAAAGCTCCTCTGACCCACCGTTGGCTGGTGGAAGTTAGTCCGCAAAGCCTAGAAGATTAGGCGGCTACTTTCAGCATTAGCACAATGCAGCAGAGGTCTACTCAAGGTCGGCCAAAAACACGTCTCCATTTCTTCCTGGCAACTGGCAGAGCCCCATGACTGAGACGAACAGAGTGACGTTCCACTCCTGAACAGGTCTGAAGAGACCCATTCTTTGCCTTCTTTTCCTTGCTGGCAGCTGGGTGCAGATGGTGATTATTCCCACAGAACAGTAGAGCCTGGGTCCCTGAATCACCTCATGGAAAAGAGCGACCCGCCAAATAGAAACACCCACCTTAGACCACAATATGAGTGAGAAATAAACTCCTATTATGTCCAAGCAATTAAACTTTTGGAGGTCAATTTATTACCACAGGCTAGACTACTTAATCTACTACCTCTATTAATTTGTGACAAGAAGGTCCTGAATACCTTGTATTTTAAAGATTCCCCATAGGATCTTTACACATTCTTGCTTTTCATCATTGGTAGTGAAAATTATCCCTCATTTAGAAAATAGTAATGTGAGTCGAGCCCCTGTTGGAAATCATCACCAGTTTCCAATGAATGGCTTGGGACCCTAATGAAATCAGGTGGAAATTCCTGCCGAGTCTGGCCTAACACAGGATTAGGAAAGCTCCAAGACAGACACAAGTGGGACAGGCCAATGAGACACCACTAGCCTGGGATCTGGAGGCTCAGGGGCCCTCAGCCCCATCTCTAATGTGGTATCTGCAGGACAGGAATCGCCTTCCCCTTACCTGACTCCCGCGTCCGACCCCGCACCACCTCGCTCCACGGCCCGGCCCCGACGGCGTTGAAGGCCTGCATCTGGAGCTCGTATTCCATCCATTCCTCCAGCTCCTCGATGGTGAATTCCCTCTCCAGCCGGTCACTGACGACTTGGGCCAGTGCTGAAGACTGGAGGTCTGAGCGCCAGTACTTAATTCTGTAGCCCACGGACTCAGGGTTCCCATTGTACTGAGAATCTGGAAGGGGCTAGGAAGGAACAAGGGGCCGTGATGAGTTGACATCTCAGAACTGCCACCCTCACAGGTCTTAAGGGACGGGCCTGTCCTGTGAGACCAACTCCATGGAGGAGGCATTCCTGGGAGAAACAGTCTTAGAAGCATCTACTTTATTTTTCCCTGAAACTTTTCTTCTGTGAATTAAATGAAACCATGTCAGTAACTTTGGCTGCATATAATTTCTTTTAATACATTTTGGCTTAATTTTGTGGGCAAATGTTCTGATTAAATATCAGGCTGGCTCTCTTACAAATACTGAGTATTGGTTCCATGTTGACCTAGCTTAAGGACTTAGAGATCCGGCGTGAGGCACCACCAGCTTTCCTGCCCCAAGGAATATTCCTCAGTTCCAAGAAGAGAGTGAGTAATGCTACTAATTAATCAGATCTCCTGGGCTGGCCTAAGATCCAACACTAATTGTAAAATGCAATACTTTTTGGTTTGACGATGAGATTAGTTTTGACTAGGACAAAGGCGTGACCAAGAAACTCCTAAGCCCTGGATTAGTGTGTGCCGTGGTTAATCCAGGACCCGTGTGCCTCCAGCCTCCATTCTCACCCCCACTCACCACCCAGCGAAGCCGCAGGCTGGTCTCACTGGCAGTCCGGACCGTGACGCTGGTTGGAGCCACATCGGGTGGGGCCTGCAGGGTCTGGATGACCCGGGAAGACTGACTGTAGGGGCTCGGCCCGACAATGTTCACTTGCTTCATTCGAAATCTAAAGGCAAAACCACTGATGAGACTTACGGCCAAGCAAAGGTAAGAAGGAAAAGAATGAAACCACAAAGGCCCTGACCGTTTCTCAAGGGAGGGCTCAGATAGGTGTCTACCCATACATAAAGGCTATTGCTCAAGGACACCCTCCTTTCACCTGGTTTCATTAAAACTGCAAACTGTGGCCAGGTGCAGTGGCTTACACTTGTAATCCCAGCACTTACGGAGGCCAAGGTGGGAGGTGGCGGGGGATCACCTGAGGTCAAGAGTTCCAGATCAGCCTGGCCAAAATGGCGAAATCTCGTCTCTATTAAAAATACCAAAATTAGC